GAAACATTTGACTAACAATGAAAAGAATGAATTCGTCTGTATAAATGTCGGGACGTTAATGACACTTCATAATTAAAGACAGTATCTTTCTCGTTTTCTCAAGAAAGCCGTAGATTAGATTGTTCTTATTGTTATGATAGCAACACAAGCGTAAACCAAAGTGTAGAATATCCGCATCTTTCATTGTCAAAATAATGACTTATATGAAAATATATGAGTTATATGAGTATATGATGATATTTTCAAGATTATTCAATGATAAATGTGTTTAAAACGCTTTCATCAAATTTTGATCACATTTAATGGCCGTCAAACTTCTAGAAAGCACAATATGTTTTTGTAAGCAGTTTATTCTTCATCGTTGAAATGAAACATAATGAGGAATTTGCTTCCAACATGCACCATAGTTCGGAATGTTGATTTAAGCAGACAGTGATTGCCTTATAAGATCACAAAGGCTTCTATTGTTAGTAAAAAATATCATCTTTATCTTTTTTTCTTGCCAAACGTACTTCTCTCATCTCTTTATTCCCTGCTGCATTGTTGATTCAATCGTATTCTCAAGTTGATGTTTGAAAATCTTGTACGCGTTATTTATTTGTGCCACATTTTTTTGGAAACAATATTTTTACGGCCCATGAAAGTAAATTGTAGAATTTTCTGAAAAAAAAAAAGTAGTAGCTGCAAACAAGGCTCAAAATTATATCGATGTTTTTGAAATGTGAGGGGAAATTCCTTGGGAGAAAATCTTACCTAGAGTCGTTTTATTAACGTCTCTTTCTTCAACATCTATTCGGAGCTGCATTGTTGACTACTGCGACATATTAAGAAAAGAGTTCTTTTAGGATTCTTTCATATTTTGGTTTATTTGGCAGTGTTAATGTCTGAGTACTTTGGCTTTATAAAGATTAAATAAACAAAAAATTTATGGGTTTCTATATGTGTATATTTAGCCATGAAAATATTTGGAATAAAAAGGCATTATCGTAAATAACAGTGTCGGGCGGCCACTTACTCTATCTATCTACCTATCTATCTATCTATCTATCTGTTCCTATCTATCTATTTATCTATCTAGCTCATACTTTTTCATATCTATCTATCTATCTATCTATCTATCTATCTATCTATCTATCTATCTCATCTTCCTTGTGATGCCAAAAGTAAAGACAAAAACACATACGATGGCAATTCTTATTCAGTGACCGTGTTCCACACCTGGCTTCCAAGGCAAATAATAGCGTTACCGGCACGGACATCGAAGTCGCCGTCCCGCGTTCAATTCCTGTTATGGCCATTCTGTTTCTTGGAAAAGGCATAAATCCATCTTCTTCCATTTTGTGGATTAAAATAGGAGAGTAGATTTGGCTCTCTGTCCTGGGGGTGGCAACCTGTCTAGAAGAAGGAAAACTCTGAATTCAAAACTAGTCTAAAGAGGAAAATGGACTCCGTCAGACTATCTTACTCTAGACTCATCACTGCTACTATGGCTACAGGACATGTGGGTGTCACTATGACCTTATTGAGTTCTAGGACTCGGGTCTCGCACCATATTCTCCAAGTTGTTTTCTTCAAGTTGTTTTCTTTGAACTATTTGAGATTTTATGAGAATTATTACAAAACATGTAAGAATCAATTTTGTAACGAATTTCGACTTTGTATTAAAGTCTACTTGTCTTTGAACATTGGCGTTACTCTCATCTCTAGATGTATTTGTTTTCTTTGAAATGTTATCTACGAAAACTCTGCAGTACTTTCTAGGTCCCTATATAAGGTGCTTCCAAGGAGTTCCTAATACGAACCACTTTAACCTATAATTTATTATAACACTTAATTTTACTTGAAATGTTTATTCAAACTCTAGAAAATCACTTTGCAAAACTTTACACATTCTGTTTTTTACTAATGTTCACCCTATACGTGACCCAAGAGCCGTACAAGGTAGAGGGTTACTGAAAGAGGTTGTTGTATGAGTGGTAAGAGTAAGATGTAAATGGTGCAGTTTATGAGGATATGTAGGAAAGATAATGCTTAAGCCGAGTTTGAAAGAGGTTAAGATTATAGTGATCGGGAAGGTATCCTCTTGGAAGTCGATTCTACCGTGATGCAATTCGTGGGTAGAAGTTGTTTAAGTGTAACCTCCTCCTTACTAATGGAATACGAAGGGATTGAGGATGATTCAGTTTAGTGAATGTGGCACGTCGGTCCTTAGCTGTCAGGGTGAGAGTTGGTGGAACTAAGGAATATTTGTGGGGTATCTGTGAGAAAGAAGTTGAAGGGTAGAAAATAATTATCACCTTTTGTGTCCTAGCAAGATTGGCAAGTGAAGACTGGGAAAGTGCAGCTGAGAAATGGCAGCAGTTTAATTTGTTTTCGGCCAGATAGGAGCCTTATAAAGGTCGAGGCTAGCAGGAGGAGTCTAGTACTTCTTAGTGCGGTACAGGCAACCGTCTATTTTCCCAGCATCTTTAGCGATGGATCTTATAGATGAGTTCCAGAAACATATTTAATATATCAACAGATATATTAATCAACAATTAAAGTAAATCTTTTAAATAATTGGATTGTAAGCAGTTGTTCTGAATTCATGAAATTTTGATAGTTTTAAAAATAAATCTCTTTCAGATTGACTTTCTCTATTGAGTGATTTTCACTTAATGCCTGTGAGTCAAACATATTTTATTATATTTACAAGGGTTTAAGTATGGATCTGAAGTATTAGTAGATTAAGGGAGTGGCTCGACTATATCTATATGAACATTTTGAAAACTTAGAAAGAAGAATTTTGAAAAGGAAATAATCTATGCCGATTAACTTGTCAGGAAGATAATCTTTACACAATTCTTTTATAGATTTATTCATATTTGGTTAACAATGTTGGCATTTAAGCAGCCTTGTTGCTGATTCAATGCGATGATGAGACAAAGAATGAAGGCGATCAAACGAGATTTACTCAAGTTTCGGTATAAAAGATCTACGATAAGACGTGAATACATCATATAAAATCGGCTCTTTTATTCTGACTCACTTTAATGTTGACTTATGTTAGAGATGTACTCACTATGTATTGATAAATATCATGGCCTGCGATCCAATTTTTTTCGGAGCTCAAAACTGTGAAAAGCTCCCGTGAAATTGTTTATAATCAGCTAGTATAATTCACATGAGGACTTCCAAATAGGCAGTGAAATTGATTCACTATAAAACAGGTAGTTAGCGAATCTCTGTTGAAAATGGAACACTTTCCTTGAGTTTGTTTGAGATGTTTGGAAAATAGACCAATATGATTGGGTATAACCAGCTCACAGATGAACAAGAGACCTCAGCCAACAGAAATGTGGTTCCACAGAAGGATGTTGAGAATATAATGGACAAAGTAAGTGTTTTTAAGGAAAATGGAAGCAAAAATCCGCTTATACTTAGAATGAGAAAGATACTATTGAAAATTCTAGAAGACATCATGAGAAAGGAAGGCTTGGAGAATTTGACACTCACAGAACATATTGAAGGTAAAAGAGAACAAAGAAAAACAGCGAGAAAACTAAGTAACGAGCTTGTGTAAAAAAATAGCAGGACAGGGATGGATTTTTTTAAAGGCAAACCTTGTTAAGAGCTACAAAGTATAGGAAGTAGTGGAGAACCATAATTTGCTCACGTCCTCAAGGGACACGGCACATAGATGGTAATGTTCCCATCTATAAGTTGGCGTATACTAATGTAAATTGATAGTCATAGAGTTCATATTGCGGGGGTGGTGGGGACATTTCCAGGGCAAAGCTACGCATTATTGGTTGGTTTGACAAAAGTTTTTGTCACCAAAAGTTAAACCTAACTAAATAATTGTAAGAGTTTTTAGGTGACTTTTGTTCCTTTAACGTTTTTTTTTTTTTTTTTTTTTTTATCGATTGCTGCATAAAATGTCTCCCCGCTCTCTGAAGGAGAGAAGAAATATCAAATTTCATCTGTGGCAACATTTGCAGTCTTGCTGCAAAAACAGAAAAGCGTCGTTCAACATTGGCTCTTGGTCAGCCAACTGTGGAAAAACGACGGCCTCGAGAAATAATTTCTTTGTCAATTTTAGATATATAAACATCATTATTATTATTGGTCATAATAAAAGATAAAATTTCGAAAGAGGAACAAAATGTTTTACTTTTATTAAGTGAGGGGAATTCGAAAAACAACGAAGATATTGAGCAGGGATCACAGGTCAATCGAAAATAAATTGCAAACCTTCTCAAGAACTAAAACAAAAACTTGATTTATAAATGACACAAAAAGACACACGAAAACGTTTAGAAGGCTAATAAGGAAGAATAGTATTTGAAGAAACAGAAAAAAAATGCAAATGTTATGAAAAATATTGGCTGGAGACGAGACAGCAACCATTTTATCGAATTAAAGTAAACATTAAATAGAGCTCAATATAAATCTTTAGTAAGAATGTAGATTCACAACGGATGAATGTGGTGTCTAGCTAGAGATTGAATGGTTTTATGGAAATAGTGTCACCCATTAGAGACAAAAAAACAATGAAATAACACGTCCGGTTAGTAGTAAAATAATATCTTCCTTCAAAATTACTGATGATAGAAGATAATTATCTTGAACAAGACTTTTGTTTTGATATTTGATGGTCACAACCAAGAAACATTAAGACAAAGAGGCTATACACATAAGACAATGCCACTTCATGGACGAACTGAAAGCATCGAGATGACATTATTGCTAAAATAAGTTAGAGTATTGAGGAGAATTTCGGAATAATGAAAGGATATTCTGTCATTTGATTCCCAGTAATAGACACCAAAAATAATTCCGCTTTAATTTTGCATTGGCATATTTGTTTATGTTTGTGAAATGTTACGAAATAGGTACATTTCCTGCGGAGTAGACAGACAGATAGATAGTGATTTTCCAAGAGTAGCTTGGATGTGGCACAAGGCCGAGAGTAAGGGGCACCCAGTGAGGATCGAAATTGTCCTAGAGAGACAAGCTTGCTAACCATTACACCACCTCGAGGTGCCCGCGATAGATAGATAGATAGATAGATAGATAGATAGATAGATAGATAGATAGATAGATAGATATGAACAAGCTGAGATAGATAGATAGATAGATAGATGACAGAATGATCTAGATATATATCGAGAGAGAGATTGGGCTCGATAGATAGTAAAATAGATATATAAAGAGATAATGAGCAGAAACATAGGTAATAGCAGACTTAATGATAGACTTTGATATATATATATATATATATATATATATATATATAAAAAAGGCTAAGTCAGATACATAGATAGATAATATGCTAAGGTAGATAGATATATAGATATATAGAGAGAGATAATGATCAACATATGATAGGTATAAAACACTTTGTGATAGATAATGTACAGCCTGTCATAGATAGAAAGATCTGAACAACCTCTGATATATATATATATATATATATATATATATATATATATATATATATATATATATATATATATATATACCGATAGAAATGGTTAAATGTGACCGTCTCTTCTACTCCGATAGCTTCATGTCTCGCACCTCCCATCTGTGGAATTCTCTTCCTATTACTTGTTTCCCTAATAGCTATAATCTCCAATTATTCAAATGTAATGTCAATCGACATTTCCAGATGTCCTGACTTATTTCCTGTCCTTCTCTTCATCCTTTCCTCCATCACGTCTCTATACTCTCGCTCTCTAACCTAGTACTAGTGGCATAAAAAAGATAGCTAGATAGCAAGATAGATAGATAGATAGATAGATAGATAGATAGATAGATAGATACTGTTAAGAATCAGAATTCAACTAATAACGATTTTTCCGTTAGCATATGCATTTTAATGCATGTATACCCACATATGACACTAGTTTGCATATTTTTGACCCCCTTGAACCAGTGCTTGTTCATTGCAGTTGTCCTTGAGACTGTACGAATTATAACCTGGCTTTTATTTGAACGCGAGAAAATATATGTTTGGGAGTCTGTTATTAGCTGCATCACGATTCCATAAACACGCCTTCCAGAAAAGCCCATCGGAGTTCTTTTGTGTCGAAAAGAATGGATAGCTTAACGGTGTGGGGGGAAAGAGCTGCGGGGGAGGAAAGAGCTGCAGGGGGGAAAAGAGCTGCGGGGGAAAAGCTGCTGGGGGGGAAGAGCTGCGGGGAAAAGAGCTGCGGGGGAGGAAAGATTTGTGAATAAAGCCAACCCCCTGTAATTAAGGGTTGAGGTTGCAGGATACGAGAAAGTATTTTGTTTCCTTTAATCATGAAAAAAAAACTTCAAATACTTCAAAAAGAGTTCGCAAATGAGACGCAATAACAACAGATTGGGCGATTGAAATGACGGACAGAACGATACAAGCGGACAGAGAGAAATAGACTGACAGACAGTCAGATATATAGATAGATGGAAGAAAGCATAACTGTATCCTCGGGAGATTTTTTCCAAATGACCACCTAACGCTTTTTTATTTTTTATTTTTAAAATTAAAGAATGCTGCATTATTATTTTTAAAATAAGTAAACAAACGCACGATGTTGGGTGTAATAGAAAAGCAGGAGGATATTAATGTTGACCAGATAAAATAAAACGTACATAGGTACTTTTAATCGTAGATCGTACAATCAATTATTGTCATTTAAGCTAGTAAATCTTAGGTACTCTTTCAAACTATCTATGTGTGAAATTTAAAAGTAAAAAAAAAAACAACAATTATCCGTTGATAAGGTGGAAAATTTTCAAAACGGCCAAACCGTACAACAATCACAATCATATTTTCAACCTCTGCCAACAGAAAAATTAGCGATTATGACATTTCCGGATCCAAAAAATCTTTTAAACCAGAAATCCAAAGTCTTTGCTTACATGTCAGAAATTTTTTCTTAAGTACATAAAAGGCTGGATCAAAAATGTAATTTAATCCCCACCAATACATTTACAATAAACTTGTTTTCCTTTTCATCCTCTTTTTCTTCTTCTTTTTCTTCACATCCCCCTCCTCCCTTTCTATTACACTCAAAGTCGTCCGTTTATTTATTTTTTTAAAATAATAATGTAGCGTCCTTTAGTGTTTTTTTAAATAAAAAAAAAACGTTAGGTGGTCATTTGATAAAAATCCCCTGAGGATACCGTAAGGTTGAAACCAAGATAGTAGATTCAACTGATCTCCTGATTTTAAAGTTAAAATCTCTGTTATTTTACTTTTGTATTGAGCCCTTTTTAATACTACTGTTTCCTGGTCTGATTCAACTCTGACCATTACCCCTATATATATATATATATATATATATATATATATATATATATTACGCAATTGAATGACAAAGTGTAAAAAATTCGTTGTAACGCATTTTGTACTCCGAAAAACAAATTGAAACAATAATGTAGTTTATGGAGAATGTACTGTTAGTGATCGAACGTGTCAAAAATGTTTTGCGAAAGTTCGAAATTGAATAATGTTTAACGGTCGGGTTGACGAATTGAGTTTGATATCGATCAAATAAATATATTACTTAAGAATAATAATCATTATATGACACAAGAGATAAGAAACATAGTCTAAATATTCAAATCAAACTTTGGTTATGATAATGACTTTTCGGCAAAACTGAAATACGCATCACACAGTCCAAAAAAAGACAACTGGAAATGAAACATTATAACAAAAATGTAAAACATACGTATTCATTGTACTTATACACAAACACTTCCCACGTCTAGCTCTCTTCACAAGATATTCAGTAGAAACATAGCAAATTTTAGCTCTAGTTTCACTGAGAACATGAGATAAATAATAAAAAGGCACAACAGAAAAATAACCAACAAACTACCCACACAAACAAACGTACCTGTAACAGTAGAGTAAAGAACGAATGCCCGACAAATGGTATTTGGTTGTAAAACAATGTAATATACGAAGCAACTGTAAAATTAGCAGATAACGAAAAAATATACTTAGGAGAAACTGAAGGATTCTGGAAACAGAGAAATTACGCGCACAAAACATCCTTTACAAAACACGAACAGTCCAGTGTTTTCTAAATATATCTAGGAAATTGTTATACTGGAATACACCTATTCTATAGTTAATAGACTCTCCCACATATAAGTAGTATCAGTAACAGTCGCGAAGTCAGTTGGTGAGTCAGTCGATGTCGGACATTAAAGTATCAGCCACCACAACTAGATTGCTGCGTCATTAACTATTATATCAGGTTCCTAACGTTTTGTACGTCGAACCTTTTTAGGACCGACTTAATGAAATACAAGCCTCTACTGTGAAACCACTCTACAACAGAAATTAAAAACAGATTACACCAAAAATCCATGGACAATAAGGAAAACGGTATCAGCCTACAACTATCTATCCCAAATCTTTAAAGTGTGCCTGGAGAATAAAATAGCTATAATCATCTTTTTCAGATCAACACAAATTACTAAGTAAACGATGAGAACTTCTCTCAAAACACAGACGCGAAAGCGAATTTTTATTACGTTACTTATAATTCAAAAAGTAAAAGCGAATAACTTGGAAAATATCACCAGGATAAATGCAAATATGTACACTATATGCAACGCAGATAACACAACTTACTTTAGACAAAGCCAGTACCATAAACTAAACAAATAAAAGCCAGAGAAAAAATAAAGCAATAAAATAAACAAAAACTAAATAAATAATAAAACAAATCTCAATACTTCAACTGTAAAATTACTGTCACATACAAGTGAGTGAGTGAGTGAGAGAGAGAGAGAGAGAGAGAGAGAGAGAGAGAGAGAGAGAACAATTCGGGAGGAAAGTAAATACATATGTATATATCAAAATGTTGTAACCACCTGCTACTGTGGGTGAAGGAAAGTATGTATGTTTTGAAATATAACAGCAGGCGGCGTAAGAGGTTATGAAAGAAAGAATGTATGTTTTTAAATGTAGCAAAAGTGTGTAGACGTCTCAAGATGGCAGGTAATGGCGGAAATCTCGAATTTCGGCTCTGGTTCTGTTAGGATGACTGGAGCATCGGAGAATGGAAAAATTAAATTAGTCTATTCTGATTTGGGTTCATTTTCAATCTCATTATATATATTCGGAGATTCGCTTCGAAAGCTCCTTTCCGTTTTGATTGATTCGCAGCCTTATATCTTGGTTGCGAAAGCTTTCTGATTCGTTGGCCGAAATATGACTTTGTGGCCTGGCGATTCCGAATATAAAATTATTTTTAGAGATGGAGAAATTTTGGTCACCCCTTTATTATTTATCTATGTGTGTGCGTGTGTGTGTGTGTGAGTGCGCATCTGTGAGTGTGTATGAGGCGCTACGTGGTTTTATTGAAATTCTTCTTTTATGTGCCGTGATCCTTCAGGACGTAGGCGTTCATGACTCTCCACATCCTCCTATCCCTTGTACTTCTCAATAAGTTTTGACTGTTTACTACTTCTGCCAGATCCTGTTCTGTCATCCACTTGCTTAAGTCCGTCAGGTATGTTACGTGTTGCTTTCCATTTTCCCACTTTCCCTCTATTCGCCCTGTGAGTATAAGATTTTCTAAGCCTTCCTTTCTTATTGCGTGTCTCAGAAATTTTAGCTTCCTCTTCCTGATGTGAAGTATAAGTTTCCTCTTTGTTTGCATCCTCTCTAAAACCTCATCGTTGCTCACATGTTTGGTCCATGGTATCCTTATCATCCTTCTGTAGGGCTATACCTCTGTTCTCCATCTTTCAGGAGACCGTCCAACATTCACTGTCGTAAAGGAGGGCAAATATCACGTAGTAGTTCAGAGATTCTTTTCTGTGTTACCAACGAAATCTGAAGTCTGTTGACCCAGCAAGGAAAAATAGACGTCTTGTCGCTATGGCATTCTGTCGGTAAAGAGGGCTAAAAAAGAGTTATACTATTAACAAGTAATATATCTACTACCTGAAGGGCCACGGCACATAAAAGAGGAAGAATTCCAATTAAACCATGTAGCGCCTCAAACACACTCACAGACCCACACACAAACGAACGCACGCGCACACACACACATACACACAAATAAATAAATAATAACGGGGTGACCAAAATTTCTCCATATCTAAAAATAATTGTATATTCGGAATCTCCAGGCCACAAAGCCATATTTCGACCAACGAATCAGAAAGCTTTAGCAGCCAATATATATATATATATATATATATATATATATATTAACAGTATTACTCGCTAAAAAAAAGAAAGAACTAAAAACATCAGAACAAGGCGAAAAAATCGTCAAGTGTCTTAAGTTCTTAGTCCAAAGAAAAAAAACAAACCCCAATCGAGTATAAAGACAAAACGAAAACTTAGAGTACTCAATACGCTAAGTAGAGCGGTAAGTTAGCATAAATTCTAACGAGCCAGGCAAACCTACCTAAGTTTCACCTAAACGGATCTCATTATCAATAACATAATCCAATCTATTTGGTAAACAGTCGATTTTTCAAGGTGAAATAATTCTGTGAAAAGAAACACCAAAAATAATTTCCAATTTCTTCACAATTGACAAAAATGTTTGTAATGATCTGGAAAAAACGATAGTCAGATGGAGCAAGGTCAAGAAAATTAGGGGGATGAGGCAAAACTTCTATATTTGCTGCCATAATCCTTTCCTGCGTAACTCGGACAATATGTGGTCTTGTATTATCATGTAAAAACAACACGCCCTTAAAACTAAAGTTTTTTTGTTTTTACTGCAATGCTTTAAACGTTTTCGCAATAGCTGTTTTATTTTGGTTTATCATTTCATGATATACAAAACCCTTTCCCTCAAACACAGAGCAAAATATTTTGGGGTATTGTTCCGGTTTAGGTATGGATTATGTTTTTTTGGGGGGGTTGGGGGGGACTAACCATTGCCTTTTTCATTGCATCTGGTTATGGAGAACCCACTTTTCAGCACTGGTCAGGAATTTACCGAGAAATGGATAGTTAGCAAATCTGCTCTTCAATGAGGAACATGGAGCAGTTCTGTGATTAAGCCAAGAAAATGACAAAAGATCTTTTGAGCATGTTTAGACACTTTTCTGATTTCATGAATGTGTCCTACTATCAAACAAAGAGTGGCTTTTATTGAATATCTTTACCAATTCTCGTCGGTTAGCTTAGAACTTTCCTCCATTACGGTTTGGTCAATGTTGACAGAACTTGGTTGTCCAGATTAAGGGGAATCTTCGAGAGAAATATTTCTCTGTCGAAACTAATCAAACCATCGTTGACCTGTTCGGACTCTTAGTGCTTCAATTCCATAGACGGAACGAATGTCTCTTTTCGCTTGTGCTGCTGAAAAAGCCCCTTTTTATATTCAATACAATGTCTGATATGGGTTTGATCAAAACTCAATTTAAAAGGGTAAAATCAATATAAAATTTACCAGAAAAAAAGAAAAGGAAAATGATGAAAAGAAAACATGATAGACGCTAGAAAAAAATTGGTAAGAATTCAGGAAAAGAA